GAAATCAATTGTCAATTATGAACAGCAGCGAAATCAATAGCCAATTATGAACAGTAGTGTATTGTGCTTTTCCCCTTTCCTTTGTCGTTATCCTCCTTTCTTCGGCACCCAGCCGAACTTATCTGCTGATTTCTTCTACCCTTCCTTTCTGTCTCTTCTTCTTGGCCATCTCTCATCTTCGTCTCCCAAGATTTAGCTAAACCTTTTGCTTTTTTTTTTCCTTTTTGCATTAATGGCTGCCTAATTCCAACAGTCATCGGTAAATTCGAAACGATATCATCAATATCTTCCAGTGAATACATAATTTGCTTCTAATAGTTTAAATTTCAGTTTTGCTTCAATTTGTTGTAATATTTGTTGATCGTTAATGTTTTTTCTTTGGTGCGATTTTGCTTGCGGTGTTTGGATTTGCGGTCGCTTCAATGGTGTTGCAGAAACAATTTGTAAATGTACAAAAACCACTACAAAAACACAACTGCAAACCCCCGACATCAACTACTTATCCAAACCACACATCTACAATTGTCGTGGATTAACAACAACTTTATATTTCGTTTTTCTTACCATCTACACAACGCGGACGCCAAGAAAAATTTGATCAAGTTGTAAACTGTTAAGATTGTGTTATGATTTGATGGATTGACATTTTTAATAGTGAACAAAACAATTGTGTTATTAGAACTAAACAAAAGAATTGAAAACAAAACACAACACACATAACCCAAATTTTCATCTACATACAACAAAACAAAAGCATCGAGACCTATAATTCCACATAACCGAACAAAAACAAACACAAATATAAAAGACCAAAACACAAATATAAATGAACAGAACATAACACAACAAACTTTTTGTTATAAATAAACACAGTTAACAAATTTTATCACGACATCGGGAAAAACAAACTTAATGAAAGCACACAATCTAAAAACAGAACGTACAAATAAAGGCATCACCAGAACCACTTCAGAACTCGAAACAAAAATACAACACACAAAACCTAAATTTATAAGTGCATGCTACAAAATAAAAACATCGACACCTATAATTCCACATATAACCGAAAAAGAACCAAAAAACAAAATAAAAGACCAACACACAAATATAAATTAACACAACATAATACACCAATCTAAATGATAATCGATTTAAATCACAACATAAACCAAAAAAAATACTATTTGCCGAACAAAGTAAACAAATACAGAGAAACAGGAAATAGAAAGAACATAAAAACAAAGTAATAAACCCCAATGCCAAGCAAACAAAAACAATGCAAACGCAAAGACCATTAACAATACAAATAGACAAACAAATTCAATCCAACTGAACAAAAAGAACAACAAATAACCGAAACCTCCGATCCCAGAAATTTCGAACAAACACTAACAAATATACACAACAATGAAATCCAAATTACAATACCAAAAAAAAAAACCACAACACAACCTGTATATAATTCCAATAGCAAACGGAATAGAAGAACGAAAACACAAATTTGGAAAAATAAATCAAAGTTATAGAAAGAGAAGGCAATTATACATAGAATGAGGAAATAGAACAACGAAAAAACACAATCAGAAGAGACAGAAACAGGAAATGAAAAGAACCTAAGGGAAAACCAAAAGAAGCCGCCTAGATATAGAAAGATAATGTTTCAGAAAAAGGTCGAATGTAATATAGAAGTACAAATCCGAGAAACAAATGCTGAAGCAAATGTTGTACTGTTCAAAATGATACTGTTCACAATTGGCATTGTTCAAGACTGGAAATTTGAAATGCGCTACTGTTCATAGAAATATACGGGCCACTATATCTGGCCTATCCTGAGCTTTCTCTCAAGGTTGTAATTCACACTTTATTTCGGCCCAATTTGCATTACATGTCATAGTAATAAACAAATCCGGTTTCCCATATCTTTGAACTAATGCCATTACATTTAGATAACGACGTTTTAGATCTCTAAGACACCCAATGAACGACGCAGGTAAAACAACAAGATATCCAATCTTCAAAGCATCTGCCTCTCCACCTGTCACACTATCAAGGATACCCTGATAAAGATCAGGTCTAATGATTTCTTGATTGTTCCGCAAATAATCGAGTCTTGAATTATCGATCTTCATATACATGTCCTCAACAAATTGTTGAGAACATCTTCCACTTCTAAGGAGCATATTTGAAGGCCTCATTTGCAATATGTAGGCATAGTATTCTGTTGGAGAGATATACTTATCAACTCTTGTCCCGTGTTTAACGGTCCCTATATTGTACCAAAAATAAATAAGAAAACACATTAAATTGCCCAGCATAATAAATAGTTTAAAACAAATACGAACTAATATGCATCTACAATTGCCGTGGATTAATAACAACTCTATATTTCATTTTTCTTACCATATGCACAACGTGGCCGCCGAGGAAAAATTAATTAAGTTCTATAATTCGAACAAAGACTAACAAATATACACAACAACGAAATCCAAATTGCAATACCAAAAAAAAAAAACCACAACACAAACTTGTATATAACTCCAATAGCAAACGGAATAGGAGAACGAAAACACAAATTTGGAAAAATAAATCAAAATTATACAAAGAAAAGGCAATTACATATAGAATGAGGAAATAGATGAACGGAAAAACAAAATCGGAAGAGAGTGAAACAGGAAATGAAAAGAACCTAAAAGAAAACAAAAAAAAGCCGCCTATATATAGAAAGAGAATGTTTCGGCAAAAAACCCAATGTAAGAGAGAAGGGCAAATCCGGAAAACAAATGCTGAAGCAAATGTTGTACTGTTCAAAATGCTACTGTTCAAAATTGGCACTATTCAATACTGTCAATAATGAGTCTACCAGTGAACACCTCTCTTTTTAAGAGTTAAGAGAGAAGTTCACCGGTATTCCCATTGTGAACAGCAGAGAAATCAATTGCCAATTATGAACAACAGCGAAATCAATTGCTAATTATGAACAGTAGAGTATTGTGCTTTTCCCCTTTCCTTTGTCCTTATCCTCCTTCCTTCGGCACCCAGCCGAACTTTTATTCCTATTTATTCTATCCTTCCTTTCTCTCTCTTCTTCTTGGCCATCTCGAAAGAGAATGTTTCGGCAAAAGGCCGAATGTAAGAGAGAAGGACAAATCCGAAAAACAAATGCTGAAGCAAATGTTGTACTGTTTAAATTGCTACTGTTCCAAATTGGCACTGTTCAATACTGTCAATAATGAGTCTACCGGTGAACTCCTCTCTTTGTAAGAGTTAAGAGAGAAGTTCACCGTTATTCTCATTGTGAACAGCAGCGAAATCAATTGCCAATTATGAACAGTAGAGTATTATGTTTTTCCCCTTTCCCCTTTCCTTTGTCCTTATCCTCCTTTCTTCGGCACCCAGCCGAACTATTTTTCCTATTTCTTCTATCCTTCCTTTTTCTCTCTTCTTCTTAGCCATCTGTGGATCCTCGTCTCCCCAGATTTAGCTAAACCTTTTCTTGTCTTTTTCTTTTTTGCATTAATGGATGCCTAATTCCAACAGTGACAGGTAAATTCGAAACCCAGCCGAACTTCTCTCTTTTCAACGGTTAACTTTTCCCCTTTCCTTTATCCTTATCCTCCGTTCTTCGGCACCCAGCCGAACGTTTCTTCCTATTGCTTATATAGAAAATATTTCGGCAAAAGGCCGAATGTAAGAGAGAAGGACAAATCCGAAAAACAAATGCTGAAGCAAATGTTATACTGTTGAAATTGCTACTGTTCCGAATTGGCACTGTTCAATACTGTCAATAATGAGTCTACCGGTGAACTCCTCTCTTTTTAAGAGTGAAGAGAGAAGTTCACCGGTACTCTTATTGTGAACAGCAGCGAAATCATTTGCCAATTATGAACAGCAGCGAAATCAATAGCCAATTATGAACAGTAGTGTATTGTGCTTTTCCCTTTTCCTTTGTCCTTATCCTCCTTTCTTCGGCACCCAGCCGAACTTTTCTTCCTATTTCTTCTATCCTTCCTTTCTCTCTCTTCTTCTTGGCCATCTCTCGATCTTCGTCTCCCCAGATTTAGCTAAACCTTTTGCTTTCTTTTTATTTTTCGCATTAATGGATTCCTAATTCCAACAGTGACCGGTAAATTCGAAACGATATCTTCAATATCTTCCGGTGAATTCATAGTTTCCTTCTAATAGTTTGATTTTGAGTTTTGCTTCAATTTGTTGGTCGTTAATGTTTTTTCTTTGGTGTGAAAAAACAAAATAAAAGACCAAAACACAAATATAAATCAACACAACACAACACAACACACCAATCTAAATGCTAATCGATTTAAATCACAACACATACCAAAAAAACATACTATTTGCCAAACAAAGTAAACAAATACAGAGAAGCACAACACAATACACCAATCTAAAATGATAATCAATTTAAATCACAACACAGACCAAAAAAGTACTATTTGCCAAACAAAGTAAACAAATACAGAGAAACAGGAAACAGAAAGAACAAAAAAACCAAGATAATAAACCCCAATGCCAAACAAACAAAAACAATGCAAACGCAAAAGCCATGAACAATACAAATAGACAAACAAATTCAATCCAACTGAACGGAAATAACAAAAAATCACCGAAACCTCCAATCCCAGAAAATTCGAACAAAGACTTACAAATATACAACAATGATCCAAAATGCAATACCAAAAAACAAAATAACCACAACACAAACCTGTATATAACTCCAACGGGAAACGGAATAGGAGAACGAAAACACAAATTTGGAAAAATAAATCTAAATTATAGAAAGAGAAGGCAGTTATATATAGAATGAGGAAATAGAAGAACCACAAAATCGAAAGAGAGAGAAACAAGAAATGGAAATAACCTAAGAGAAAACCCAAAAAAAGCCGCCTATATATAGAAAGAGAATGTTTCGGAAAAAGGCCAAATGTAATAGGGAAGTACAAATCCGAAAAACAAATGCTGAAGCAAATGTTGTGCTATTCAAATTGCTATTGTTCAAAATTGGCACTGTTCAAAATTGGAAATTGAAATGCGTTACTGTTCATAATAGGTCTAACGGTGAACTTCTCTCTTTTTAAGAGTTGTAGATATAAGTACTAATACTCATTGCACGTTAGTTAAAAATACATTAATAAAACAAATTATTCACTATGTAGCAAATATACATCAAGATTTATAAAGGAATCAACCATTTCTATTCCTTGCACTAAAATTCTACCAAGCAGTGCTGAAAGAAACTAATCATGTTCCACTACAGCATTATAAACAGCATCCATGAGCTTCTTACTCCAATCCGTCCAACACATCTGTACCCTCAGAAACTGCATAAATCAGAGACATTATTATTCTAACATTAATGAACTAATTTGTCATCCTTGATATGTAAATACAAGTAATGACTGGAAGATCAGAATTCTGAAGATATAATACTACATGAGAGTGGAAGATTCAAATCAAATTTGTCAATTTATAATGAAGAAAAATGGTCTGCAACAAACAAGATAAAAGAGGAGACAACCTGAGATTTTTGTAGGAAGCCACTTGGATCATTTGTGACAAGCCAGCCAAGTCTCCAGCCAGGAAGAAGCCACCTCTTAGAAAGAGATCCCACTGTAAGCACAGGCACAATCGATGCAAATTCTCCCATTCAATCAAAGGGAATGGTACCAAAAGTGATGTGTTCATACACTTCGTCAGCAATCACAAGTAACCCAAGCTTTCTTCTGGTTCTGCTACCTAAACAAAAGAAAACAAGATATTAATAATTAAGTGATGCATTATGGACTTATGGCTTCTGTTGGGAAAGTACCATATTACTATGCTGCTATGCCTCAATAGATTTTTGTTGGTAAAGTACCGTGTTGCTATGCTGCTGATAGTTAGTAAGGAAGATCCTTTGAAATGTAGTCTGCTACTGCCCTGCAATAAAATGACTGAGGATTTATATTAGGACAATGTCACAAAATATCCATTTTGTAACCGTAGCCACCATGATTTATTGATCAACACATCTGAAACCATAACATTATTATTCTAATAGTCCAGATAAACTGAAACAATAAATTAAACACATAAATAGAGAAAGACTTCCACATAACACCATATAAATATTATCTGGTCACAACCAATGTAAAGAAGGCGTCTAAATGAATATTCTCATCACCTTCACAAGTATATTATCTTTTCAATATAAAACCCTAGCGTATACTCCATTTACAAAAGAGTTCAATGTTCCAACTTTGGCTATTAGGAACAAAACAGCATTACTCACCCTTGTATACACTTAATGTAGTTGTGCAACATCTTCATGACATCCATATAGAGCATCAGCCTTCAATCCCACCCACTAACAAGACTAGTTTGTATTCAATATTTTTTCGATTTCAATAGCACTCTTGATACATAAACACTAACCAAAGAGAGTACTAGAGAACTTAATTCATAAAAACTAAAAATGACAATTTTCAACAAGTACTTCAATGCATTCACAATTCATATCATAGAAACCAAATCGACGCCACAAACTCTAAGCGGACAACCAGAGAACATTTAGAAACCACAACGAAGGACAAGGTGAAGGGTAAATAAGCTAAACTATTACCTAAAGCATCCATATCTGCTAACTTTCTAGCATAACTCACCAAATTACCAGCCAAAACTAAAAGAACTACTAGCCCAACTCGGACATCCATGATTCCTGAATCAACTTTATGCAAAAAAAACAACCAATTTTAATAATCAACCCACGAAAACCCAGTTCAATCGCATACTTGTGTACGTTCATAATAACTAATTTGCGGAACCAATTTCAATGATCAACCAAAAATTAACACAAGACCAGAAAAATTAAAGAAACTATTAAACAATACACACTTTTGTGACACATCAGAACCAATTTTGCCAGCAATAGATGCAAGAATGGACGGTAGAATTCATTCATATATTCCTTAAATTAATGAAATAAAAAATTCTCATTCGAAATTGAATAACAGATTTGAAATCAACCACTAATCCATTAAAAGCAAATAGAATGGACCCTAGAATTGAAATTAACAAATTTGAAGAATAAAGAGAGACTGAGGAGTGAGAATGTCACCATTTATGTGAAATTAGAGCAGTAGTCACCATTATTGGAAGCTTCTTACGAAATTGTTTCAAGAAGATCGTAGAAATGGTCGTTGTTAAGATCTAGAACACCGTCGATTGGCCGCCGTAACGCATGGAGGCATGGATTCCAAGCAACGAAATCAGATGCGCTATAAATTGAAGTGAAAGAGACGGTGAAAGAGCGTAGATCTTCCAGAATTTGATGAGAGAGAATTTGCAGAGAAAAACCCTAAATTGTTCTTCGATGTGAGAGATTGAAGGCGAGGGCGAGAGTGAGGTGGAAATTTAGAGTATTTTAGGCGGGCCAACAAAAAATTTTAAGGCTCCATTTTTTTTGATAACTGGAGTAGTAGATGATATGCACTCCGTTTTTTTTTTAATAAACGGAGCCTTTTAGTTGTCATTTTTTGGCCCTTTGCCAATTTTATGGTTTTATGGTCCGATTTTTCACCTAAACGGAGCCAATGTAGACTTTTTTTTCTACTAGTGAGTTAACGACCTCTTTGCATTCAATTTTATTCGAAATTTTTCCGACTTCAGTATTCGGATTATTTTTGAAAAATTACATGATTTCATAAACGCATTTTCTAGCAATTTTGAAGTCAAGAAAAAAAGTAATTTAACCTTTGAGGGGGTTCCTAAGAAAGAGTACTTCAATTATATTTCCCGCAAAATTTGAGACGCAACGTGCTCTTATCATGCTTCGCCTAACATGGCACTCTACAGGGACCTATGATGGTCCAGCATACGAAAGGGAACTTGAAGGAATACGGGAATGCATATACACATTCCCAGATTTTCCCACTTCTTTTGACTTTCGTACTTGAAAAATTATTTCAAATAAATAAAATTTTATTGAAGAAAACCTGATTAAAGGCTAAAATTGCATTGATAATTAAAGAATTGAAAGCTACAATATTAATGGCATTACGCCTTATTTAAAACAACATTAAACTTCAAACTAAAATTGTCTAATGAAATTAAAAGCAAAGCAATACTCTAAGTCTACTCTTCCTTCTCCTTACGAGCCCTTTTCTAGTTCTTTATCATTTGATAATTCCTTTAACAGTAATGAACCCTTAGATGAACGAACTGAAACCTTTGAGGAAGAAGTTCTCCCTTCTCAACCCTTTTCTCCATCCAAACCTTCTTTTCCTTCTCTACAAGAATATCTTTTCTCTTCCTTTTACCCTCCATAGAACTTTTCATTTTAGGCATGATAGGAGTCTTGAAAACAATTCCTGAGCCCAGACAATCTTTAGGTGGAGCCTTCTTGTCCCCAAGGCAGTCTTTTATGCTACTCTTCTCGGCACCTTTAGGTTTTAATTTTCGAGCTTTATTCTTGTCCTTTTGATTTCGAGCAAGTTACTATTGTTTGTATTCCCGAGACAATGGAGGAGGAGCTCTGTCAGACACAACAGTCCATAGTGGTCTCAAATACCAATAACCATCAAATCACTCAACATTCTTTGAAAGAGAATATTCATGAGGACGACAATCATCACTAGCAGGGATAGTTTGTGCAAGTTCATATTGTCTCATGACTCTAGAAGGAAAATAAAAAGTCAATTTGGACAAGCTTGGGATGCGACAGAAAAGTTGATTGTTGACTCCATTCATCTTATCAATCTTCCACCAACCACCGACCCACTACTTGATGGAGAAATCGCAAGTCTGGAAGATTTTGCTCCACTCCCGATAGCCCATCCTTGTAGAAAAGCGTTTCTTCCTTCTCACAAAGCAATTTGGAGTATATTTTTCACAACCATCGGGAGGATTAATTAATCCCATTTGCTCCATCAGCCAAATCAGCAAGCATAGAAATTATACATTGCTACATTACAATTAAATATTTTTTATTCTTAAAATTAAAAAGAATTGATTTTCTACCTGTAACAATAAAAGAGATCCTCGAATTGGTGTTTTAGGATCCTTCTTCAATTCATCTAACCCCATCATTGTTTCTTTGACGATTGCAGGCATGAGATTTCTTCTGGCATCAACTTGCTTGTTGCTAATATGGCTTGACCCATATGGTTGCTACCATTAGTGAACAAAAGTTGACTAAACATTAATGGGTTTTGTGGTGTCCGACACCGCACGGAAACAAAACCAGATAACCGGATCGCATGAATAATAATTATAACATAAACAAAAGCATGCAAATAAACAAAATAAAAGAGATAGAAAGAATACTCAACCTAGAAGTGTGCTTCGCTCAACCGACGAGCTCGGACATGAAAGTTTCGAGTTCCGCATGTGCGAGAAACTTCGACGGCTCACACCCTCGCTACCGAATTGTAACCGGTCCCTACCCTGTAGCTTAGACGGGGCTAGACCAAAAATAAATTAGAGTTTACGAACAAAGGTTTTCTCGCTTTTGGAAATCCTTTAGAGTTCACCAACTCAAGTGAATTTCCCAATACCCAATGATGGGTATTTATAGGGAAATGTCCCCAAGATTTCCCATCATCTTTCAATGTGGGATAGTTGGTAAAAAGCAAAAATAAGATTTAATTTAATTCTAAGTTAAATAAAAAAGCCAAAATAATCATCAAACAACAAGTGGCATAAGGTGAGCAAGGGAGTAGGTTAGGACCAAAAGGGGAGGAACACCTTCCCCTTGCTCCCCAAGCAACCCCTTCACAAAACCGGGTGCAATAGGATGGCGCCAAGTGGCAACTCGTCTTGGGCACCAAGGCAGCCATGCTGGTGCCTGGTCCCTCAGTTGGGCCTGCCAGCTAGGCCTTGCTGCACCAGCCCGCAACTGTAAGTCTCGCAAATGAGAGCTACTTTGTTGCTTGGTGCTGCTGCTACTACGCACCAAGCTTGGTGCTAGTAGCTTGTGCATGGCACGCCTCGCTGCTAGCTCTCGCATGCTGGCAAGCTGCTGCTTGCTTGCGGCATGGCCTGCTAGCCCAGCCATGCATGGTTTGCTCGACCATGTTGGCAAACCTTGCTTTCATGGTTGCCCTGCCAGCTCGCTCAGCCAGTGCATGCGATGCATGCTGGGCTTGCGGCCAAGCCTTACCTTGCGGCAAGGAGCCCGATTAGCCATGCTAGCCTACCTAGCCCTCGATTGGCTAGGCCATATCGAGGCTAGGATTTTCATGCGCGTTGACTTGTTGTTTGATTGATTTTTCCATCTCGTCGATTCCTAAATTCGACTCAACTTTCAACGCTCGGATTCGACGATCTAAGCTCGGAATCCGACGTCTTAGTTCGTAAAATCACTATCAACTCATTTAATCCTTCGAATTAATTCGTCGCTTCGGTTCGGTTACACGATTGGGTGTGACCCGAAGCGTTCAGTCAAGAGCAAGTTGTAATATTAATATTACATTAATATTACAGGTCGGAAGCTGCCTCCAGCTAGGCATTCCGATCACTTGACCTCACTGAATAATTAGCTTTCCTTATTAATTTCGAACCCTCTATCGGAATAATACACTTTTTTGAAGGACACCATTCCTTTCAAAGAAGAAGGAGTTCAAGAACAAAGCGAAGATGCGATGCTTCTATTTTAGTGGGCAAGACCACTACAAGAGGGAATGCAAGATCTTCCAAGAAGATGAGGAAAAGAGGAATGTTCCATCCACCTCAGGTTTCTTCATTAAGACTTGTGTATAAGCTATTCATAGGTACTGGATACCATGAATGACTCACTTTATGCTCCTATTTTTAGGGATCTAGTGAGAGGCTTCACAAATAATTGTGCAACTACGACTGGACGATGAAGATGGTCCTTCTACCATGTTTGTAGGCACAATGTTTGTCTTTTGGCTTGTAGTAGAACTAATTCTCGTTTTATTATGTTTTGCTTATACCATTGAACATATTTTAATTTATGGCGTTTTTAAAGCTAAGGTTGGAACAAATAATAGTTATTGTGTTCCATAATCAGCAAACGATCCGTTTACACACGGAAAGACTCACATTCAAAGTAAAAGAGCAATAGTTGTTGGTTTTATTTGAATGTTATGGTTGTCTAAGCCATGAGTCAAGGATGCTTGATTATAAACAAACATTTCTCTAACATGAAAACTGACAAGGTTCAACTCATGCATGGACATGATTTGTGTTCTAAACATCTTTAGAAATGTCACATCGACAAGAATGTATTCAAGGCTCTATTAGATAGACTCTTAATAGTTGATCGATTCAGAATCGTTCTAAGGTAAGCAAGTCTTACTTGTTGAAATCGACAAAGAAAGGAGCTATTGTACTTGGTAAAGACAATTGACTCCGAAAGCTAAAGAGGATTCCATTACTTCAACGTTTTCACAAGAATTTGAAAGAATATGGCTATATTCAAATGTGAATAAACTGGATCTTGAGTAGCTTAAAAGTTCAATGAAGTATAGAATCGACTTGGCAAGATATCAAAACATCTAGATTAGATCGAGCGATGTTTTCTTGAGCCAAAAGTGATCATCTCAAAGTTATGAAATTCTAATTTCATAAATAGCTCCACAAAGAATATAGTATGTCTTCACGGAGACCTCGATGCCATTTGGAAATGACTCAAACGATGATGGATCACATCCCTTCCTATAAATTTCTTAAAGATTTGCACAAATGACTAATGTTACACTAAATAAAATGTCGAAGCTAAGAAAGGACACCATATTCAGTTATGGAAGAAATAGTTTCTAGCGTCTTTTCAAGTATATGTCTAGGGCTGTTAGCCTCAGTGGGAGTTCATTGGCTCAGCGTGAGCTAAGTGGCTCAATAAGGCTAAGGTAGCTCAAGTGGGAGCTAACTGTTTGTTTCACAACAAACTTTTACCCAAAGACAATATACATGTCTCTTTGTAAGCATTCAAGTGAGACTATGTGCATTCCTTCCACAACCTGATTAAGAACATAGTACTATCTGTTGCTCTAAGTGGTGTCTTTTTGAAAAATAACACACTTCCAAAACGACAAGTGGGAGGAAAATGAACTCGATGACCATCGAGTTTAGCAACAAACTAGAACTGAGAATCTCGGAAGACTTTAGAAGAGTTTCATGAGAATGATTGATCAAGAATACTCAAAGGACTTTACAAGTGCCTTAAGAGAGAATTCATTACTCACAAAACTTTAGAAGTATTGGAGTAAGATCAATATAATCAAAGGGCTTTAAAAGCGCCTTGAAACTCAATGTTTGATGCAATTACCTCGTATAGGTATAGAATTCACCAAGGCTTGGATTGAATCTTATAAATTTCTATTAAATTAGAAAAAACCTAAGACTTACAAGCATACTATTTTCTATTGGATGGTAAGAGAATAGTGTCTTGTAAGATAGCTACGATAAATCCTAATTCCGAATAATGGTTAGAGGTCATAAAATCCGAAATAGACTCCATATTTGAAAATCTGGTTTGAAACTTGATTAATTTGCA